AGAGAGAGAGAGAATCACTAAAGGAGTTTCTGCTGCTAGCCATGTTTTGGGTCACCAGAAATTATATTATCATCCCATTAAATATATGGAATATATAGAATATCCATACATATGGAATATCTGCTTTCAGACACTGTGACAAGCAGCGCAGAACAGTGATCCAGGAGAGGAGAACAGATGATGTGACCCTACAGCCTCCCTGACTTTGCCCATGAAAGTGCATCCAAACCATGGACAAGGATGGGTCCCCTAAGCAGAGTAACAGTGAGTTATGGACTCAGAAATGATTGCAGGGAATCTGGGGTCGATGGTGTTTGTGGGAAGGAAGCTGCATTAAATGAGAGCTCCAGAAATCTGCAGTGGCCCCTTGTGTCTTTGCTGAATATTAAGCTATGCATGCATGGGCAAAGTCCCACCAGGTTGAGCAGAAATTATCCAAGGAATAATGAATTGTTCCCAGAAGTTAGGCAGGCTGAGAAGCATTTGAATTCTAACAAGACAGTGTGAGAGTTCTTGTTGATCACTGAGGGCATTCAGTAAAGTCTAGAAGAGCCTTTTGAAGCTGGCCTCGAAGCTTTATTAGGACAGATCTAGAGTACTTGCTGATTTAGGGATATTTGAGACTTGCTGCAATAACACTTAATGAGCCTCTAAAGGATCAAACAGATCTGCAAGTGCTGCTTACCAGAACAAAGCCCAACACTCTCTAAATGAACAAAGCAAATCTAGTTACTTAACAGTGTATAATTCATGATGCCCATCATTCAAGAGGAAATTACTGGACAAAAAAGAAAGATGACATGTCTCACAGCCTGGTGAAAAATCAGTGAAAAGCAGACTATAGAAATACTCCAAGACACAAAAGTGACAGAGATGATGGAGTTAGCAAAAAAAAAAAAAGTGCCACAGTGGCTAATGTAATCATATTCAGGTATACAAATGAGAACATAAATGTAGGGAGACACATTTTAGGAAGTAGCCTAAATGGGATTTCTTTTTTTAATATTTTATTTATTATTTTTAATTTATGTGTATGCGTGTATTGCCTGCATGTAAGTAAGTGCATCCGTATTGTGCAATGCCCACGGAGGACAGAAGAGGCTGTCAGATCCCCTGGAACTGAAGTTACGGACAGCTGTTAGCTGCCAATGTGGGTGCTGGGATTCGAACCCGGGTCTTCCAAGAACAGCCAGTGTTCTTAACTGCTGAGCCATCTCTCCAGCCCCCTAAATGGAATTTCTTGAGACGAAAAAGGCAATGTCTAAAATGTAAACATCACTGGGGTGAGCAAAGAGCAGCTTAAGATGAAAGATTTAAAGACATAGCAATAGAAATAATATAAATGAAGCATGCAGACAAAGAAAAAATTGTCTCGATGATAATATTGAGTGAGTGGACATATGGTAAGTAAAGACCCAAAGGGAGAGGATGTAGGGTACAGGAAAGAAAAAGTATCTTAGAAAAAAATGCTGCTTAGCCATCTGTCTCTTTGGGATCAGGTTTGACTTCTAATCAAGAATATGAGCCAGGGGACTGGAGAGATGACTCAACTGTTGAGGGCACTGACTGCTCTTGCAGAGGACCTGAGTTCAATTCCCAGCACCCACATGGTGGCTAACAACCATCCGTAACTCCAGTTCCAGGGGAATCTAACACTCTCTTCTGACCTCCACTGGCATTGCACAACATGTGTGCACTTACATATACGCAGGCAATAAATACACTCATACACATAAGATAAAAATAATAAATAAAGTGTTAAAAAAAAGAATATGATCCAGGCAAGGTGGTACACACCTAAAGTCCCAGCACTCAGGAGGTAGAGGTAGGTGGACCTCTGTGAGTTCCAGGCCAGCCAGAGATACATAGTGGGACCCAGTCTCAAAAACAGACAAAAACACCTGAAAGATTTCCAAGTTTGAAAGAAAAGGGTAAAGATACAGATGCAAAAATCTCAACAAATTTCAAACAGAATTACGAAAAGATAATCACTTCAAGATACATATTAAATTCCTGGAAAACAAAGATAAAATTTAAAAACCAGCTCAAGAAAGCAAAAGACTCATGAATGTGGATAAGAAAAGAACCATCAGACTTCCATTAAACACAAAGCAAACCAGAAGACAATGGAGTGATGTCCTTAAACCACTGAAAAACACTGTTAATAGAGAAGCCTGCACACAGCAAAAATATCTTTAAAAAAAAGTGAAAGATGTTTTAAGGCAAAAGTTGAGAGAATGCAGTTGACCAGCACTACAAGAAATATTAAAGGAAGTTCCAGACAAAGGAAAAATAATTCCAGAAACAAACTTAGATCTTTGCAAAGCAATAAAAAGTGCTGAAGATGGGGGCTGGAGAGATGGCTCAGTGGTTAAGAGCATTTGCTGTTCTTGCAGAGGACCCAGGTTTGATTACCAGCACCCAGGGTTCAATTCCCAGCACCCACATGGCAGCTAACAACTGTCCATAACTCCATTTCCAGGGGACCTGACACCTTTTTCTGACCTCTGTGGGCAGTGCACAACATGGGTGCATTTACACACATGCAGACAATACACTCATACATATAAAATAAAAATAATAAATGAAATATATTTTTTAAAGTGAAGATACTAATTATGTAAGAAATATAAACGATTCTTTCCCTTCATTAAACTTTTTTCTTTGAGATTTAGTTGTTTAAAACAGAAATTGGCAAACATTTTCTATAAAGGATCAAATAGTGACTATTTTAAGCTTCAAGAGCCAAATGTTGTCTGCCACAACTACTCCAGGGTTCATGTTGGTCAAAAGTAGCAGCCATAAACCATTTGTAAACAAATGGGTGTGGCTGTGTTCTAACAAAACTTTATTTTTTTTAAAAAAAGGAATGGGCCAATAGGAGCTATAGGCCATAATTTGCCAAGCTCTTCATTAAAATATATCATTGCAAAGCTAATATTTAGTCTAAGAAAATAGCTCATTCAAAATAAGGCACACATAGACAAAAGGAGCAGGAAGATTGGCAAAGAGAAAACAAAGAGCAAGACAGTAGCAGACTTAAACATATGGATAATTACAATAAATAAGTATTCCATATGTTCCTATTAACCAACAGAGATTATCGTCTGGAAAACAATGGCCAACTACATGCTGTCTATTTTTAAAACATCTAAATGTATAAAGACATTAAAAAGTAGGGAAGAGCAAGTACCAGTTGGAATAAACCTGGAAGGGCTGTATTAATATCAGACAAAACAGACTCATCTTGAATTCCTATACATGTACTAACATATGAGAAA